CACACACACACACACTCTCACACACACACACACACACTCACACACACACACACTCTCACACACACACACACACACTCAAGTAAAACAAACAAAACATTTTTAATAAATTATTGGCCAAAAAGTGCAAGAACGCTGAATTTTTAGTGCATGAATAAATCGAGTACACTGGATTTGTTTGAAATGTATTTGAACTAACAGCTTCTGAGAGTCTAAAATGGTCATTTTTGAGACTTGAAAAGAAATAAAAATTAGAAGTCACGGAAATATAGTAATTTCTAGTTATTCTCACCTCCAAAAGGCTGAAATTGTTAAAAATGTACTACATTTATCAAAAACAAATTGTAATGAATATTATAGTGTGTTGTTATTATAAACATCTTTGAGGAACGCATTGCAGTAAATGCACAGCAGAATGCTTGTGTAAGACCCGAGAGTCAGACTGCAGAAGAGAAGGGCTGTAAATGCAAATGTTCGAGCACTAATGTGAGATAATCCAGTGAAGTACGCTGCGTTACGAGCGTCTGAGACGTTAGAGGCACATCTGCAGCACGAGCTGGAGGATTTGAATACGAATGCAGCCCGTGGAGTCAGAGCACAGCTGCGCCGCAGGACAGGCCGCTCGCAACGCTCTCGCTGGAAGCTCAAACTGACATGCTGGAGACAGAGCAGCTGTCAGAGACGCCTGTCTGCACACGGACCAGACCCTCAGCTCACTGACTATATGAGGGCAAGAAAACAACATTTAACAGAAGAACCCACCATAAACACACACACACACACACACATGCAGTCTATACAAGCAATCCAGATGAATGCACAACTGAATTAAGAACTAAAATCATCTGCACATGATCAGCCATTACGACACATTTCACATATTTGGGCTGCAAATTGAAGGAAAATGCATTTCTGTGTCATGAGTCAGGTGGAACATCCTTATCAAACACCGGCACTCTGCTAGACGAGAATAAAAGAATCAAATATATGTATTTGTGACCCTGGAGCACAAAACCAGTCATAAGGGTCAATTTTGTGAAATTGAGATTTATGCATCATCTGAAATCTGAATAATAAGTTTCCATTGATGTATGGTTTGTTAGGATCGGACAATATTTGAAAATCTGGAATCTGAGGGTGCAAAAAAATCTAAATATTGAGAAAATCATCTTTAAAGTTGTTCAAATGAAGTTCTTAGCAATGCATATTACTAATCAAACATTACGTTCTGATATATTTACGGTAGGAAGTTTACAAAATATCTTCATGGAACATGATCTTTACTTAATATCCTAATGATTTTTGGCATAAAAGAGAAATGTATAATTGTGACCCATACAATGTATTGTTGGCTATTGCTACAAATATCCCCCAGCGACTTAACACTGCTTTTGTGCTGCAGGGACACATATATATGTATGTAGGCCATATCTACCATCCCTAAGCAAAATCAATGATGGAAACTCAACTATGTTCTGTAAAGCAGTGCTAAAAGACAGCAGTGTCAGTATTCAGCTCAGTTCAGACAGATGATTGAACTTTCGAGTCCTCGCTGGATCTCAGGACAAAATCAGGAACTGTAAGAACCGGCCAAATGCTTTCATAACTTCTGGCGCCTTTAACGCGCCTCAACCTCGAATTCCACTGGTGTTTTTAATGCTTACCACTTTGTGGCGTCAAACATAACTTTAAAGCTTAGAGAAAATAATCTCGCTGCCAAATCACACTGGATTTCAAAAACACGGCCAGTAATGATGAATGGTGTTTGTACAGATGGGGCCCATTTAAATCTGCCGCCTCGCAGCGCTGCGATCAC